TAAAAACCAGCGAAAATAAGGGTCTTTCTTGGACTCTAAAAATAGTGTAATACTAATGCAAGACAGAACGGGCACACTTTCATTTCCCATCCTTGGGTGGTCTTCGTACTCCTGGCTTTGACTTTCTCCCAAGTTACATGAAAGGAAGTCATTTTGGTGGTCGCTGCACACCGTCGCTAGGTGACCTCCGACTGACTGAAGATGCTTCTCAGCATCCGAGTGACTTCTTCCTTTGCAGAATTTCTGGAAGAGCAGCCACAACTTTCTGGATTAGATTGTCTTCATTGACGAAGTAAGTAACGGGAGATGCAATAAAGAAAAGAAAGCAGTGGATAATACAACCAGGGCATATCGTTGTTGGGGACTACCCAGTGGGAGGGGGACGTATTCAGCCACTGGGAGAGGAGGGAGGGGGTCGTAATGAGTGCGGCAGCAGTAACGAGCAGCGCAAATTGTCAGTGTGCTGAGTCCTGTATAACGAAACTTGCTTTGTAGAGAACTCGGATATGTAAAAAAATAGTACAAAACTTTCATCAATTTAACTAATCCAAAATTAACTGGAAATATTAATAAGTTGACATCATTTCGTAAGTACGTAGATGACTGAAGTGCAACTTATAAGGTGAGCTCACTCTCTGAATAACCCCCCTTTAAAAACTTCAGCAAAAATTTGAAAATTACCAATATAAAGACACTATGTGGGGGCATGTGCGTTTGGCGAGGTGCCAACCTGTCTTTTCTTTCGACAAACGACTGCCGCAAAGTATAAATGCAGCTTAATGCCGTCAAAACCAACGGTCAGGGGTATTTCACGAGAGTGTTCCAGAATGGCTCCATTCCTTCAGAAACAACATTTTTTGGTAAGATCAGGTCTCCTAGCCCCGCAAAAGTGCTTGAGGATGTGCAGAGAGCATTTTTGAGAAAATGCAAAACGTGTAAAGGATTCGAACTCATAATGTTACACACATGAGGCCTGTTGCTCATCCACTACGCCATTGAAGCTGATTTATAGCGTGCTCACCCGCCATTCAGGCACTTGTTGAATATTGATGATCTCAGGCTGTGGTCTGCTCAACAAGCCTCCACAATTCTATTTGGAAAGTCCTTTAGCACATTTTGAAGGCAGATTCGAAATCAGTATCTAACGCATCAGTCTGTATACATCTCATTTCAAATGGCCACTCCGATTAATCATCCTTTCTTGGTTCGATCTTTTGTGAATAAATTACTTTCGCACTCCATTTTTCTCATTACTTTCCCCAGCACGTTGAGTGAGGCAACTTGAAAGCAAGAAACATAAAAACATGGCAGCTCTGAGGAAGGCTACTGCTTAGCTGCTGACCATTTAGAAAAAATCAAGAAGCCGTGGACAGGTGCGGCATTGTCAAGGGTAAAGGGCCCGATACATCCTCTAGGCCTACAATATGAATAGGCCGATCGCTGATGAGCAAGCATTACACGGTGACTTTTCCAGCAAAAGTCGGTCTCTAAGCATCTCAGAGATGCTCCACATATTCACCCATACTCATACCATCAACACCCGTTTGAGCTTAAAGGCACGGTCCGCTATCAGGTATAAAAGTATGGCATCGAGAGGGTAGTGTGGTTCGTGAAGAAGAGTCTTGAACCGGTTTAGCGGCTACGAATTGTACAGTGGAGCGCTCACCGGACGGTGGGGCGTTCCCTACGACCACGCCGGCGAGCGTCCCGCTGATTGCGTGACGATGGAAAGCCGAGAAATTCCAGGAAATCATCATCATTGCCCCTGCGTCTCTGACACTGACTCTGCGCTCTAACACCCCGCCGCGCCCTCTTCTCACTCTTCCATCTGAACTCTCGCCGATCGATGGTTGCTGACGCTACCAATCAGCTGATTTCTGCCATAATTTTTGTTGTTTTTCTGCAATATTCAGCTTGTAAAAGCTGAAATTGTTCTAGTTTCGGTTTCAATTTTAGAGGTGAGTATGTTTACTGGAATAAGATTACATTCTGTATGAATTCAGCATGAAACTCTCTTAAAGAACTTGTTTCTTCTTTCTTTTCGCAATTTTTTTTACTTTTCGTGAATGTCTTCGTTTAACTTCGATGCTACTTACTAAATTCATGCAAAATGAAATCTAGCTTCCTCGAAACATACTCACCCTTGCTTATTGAAGCTGAACGAAGAATAATTTTAGCTTTTCGAAGCTGAAAACGGTAGCAATCAGGTTAATTGGCGTATCAGCCATTATCGATCGCGGCGGCGTCGGACCGCTTGCCAACGTGGACGAAGGACCGCCCCACCGTCGGAAGAGAACTCGACTGTAAGGGAGGGGCGCTATAGCGCAACATGTCCAGTGACGCCTCCTTGGCCTGAATCCGCCTCCAGTCTCCGCCATCGAGGCCCGCCTTTCAGTAACGAAGCTGCAGGAAGAAATAGCATGAAAAGCGTCAATTGTACGGTGGTAGAGTCTTTATCGGGGAGACAGCTGTGCGGATGTGGGCGCAGTGTTGGAGATGGACACTTGCAAACTGAAGTGGGGTTCTATCTAGGACAGGTACCATATTTTTTTCTGCTTTTTGCTTCACTATTGAGCACCCTGTCGTCTATATGCAAACCTCTAATCAGCAATCTGTGATGGCGAATGATCTCAGGCTTTGCCGTCAACTTCTCCAGTACGTTGCCTCTGCTCCGTATTCTGCATAGAATCAAAATATTTCGCCCACTGCCTTCGAGGACAAATAAGTAGACCCCTCTGACAGGGAAAACCATGCCTAAGAGTAGTTTTGGGTCTGGGGTAAAATAGTTCGTGTCGATCCGCTTTGGTGATAGATGGAATAACGTTGTAGAACCATGAGCAAATCAAGTCAGAATGGTCACTGACGATGAGAAGCGTTTCGAGCATGCATTAATCAAAAAAGGAGACGTCCAGAATGATGAGTTTGAGAAGCTTATTGCTGCTTTTGGAATTTCAACAAACAAAAGACTAGAAGCAAGAAGACAACTCTTTCTTGCGAAATTATCTTGTACCTCGTCAGTGTGAGCAACACCCTTCTTACTAACGCAAAAGGCAACTGTTCAGTATTCCATCAACGATCGGACGTGAGTCTTATCGTAGTCTAACACGCATCATCCATCTTTCTCAAGTTTCAAGTATTTTCCTCATTTCCTTGCTTTGCACCACCTTTGCACCACTCTGTAATACTATAAAACGTTCCGTTCCTCCTGACATCACTGATGCGCCTTACTGAGGAAAATGTACGAAAGCCAATGGTTCACGATTGGGAGATGCTAAAAGAACCGCTATGTTATTTTTCTCGATTCACTGCATGTTGCATGTTTCTGTTTTGTTTTGAATTTTTTGGTTTCTATGGCTCCTGCACACGGAGCAACTTTTGACAAGTGAGTTCCCGACAGCGTTCCATCATTCTTGCGCCATCGATGACGCGAGATTTTATTTGCTCCAGTTCCGTAAGCTGAGGCTGCCTTCATACCTTGTGACTCAGCGTTTCGTGAATATCAAGGTATCGAAGGAAGAAGCATCATGAGCGGAATGGAAACATCGAGCTAGGCGTCGAGCTAGCGATTTTAGGGAATGCCAGTGTTTTGGGCGTTTTGAGCGAAATGAAGCATCCTGAACGAATCAGCGTTTTAAGCGTGGTCGAACTTGCTGCTCAAACTGGCTTTTCTCCCAGAAACGCTCGGAACTTTAACGCGCAGTATGAACGCTGCCTGAGTGTCTCCTTTTGTGTCCCCTCGTGGGGACAGTCTTGTGAATGCTGGAGCGTGCCAAGGGTTAGGGTTCGCACGGCGCCAGCTTGTTTTCAATTTGCAGCTTGGCCGCCTCAACAACTGTTTATGAACGGGCAGGTGCCACGCAGGGCGCACCCCCCCCCCTACTGGGAATCAATGCCCATTTCTTGTTGTCACTTCTGGCAACCTCTTTCTATCAAGAATCAACTTTAGTGCATTCGCTGATCGTGGTTGGCCGTGTTTTTCCTTGAACTTGTTCTTCAACACTAGCTCGAGTTTTTCACTGATTGACAATCTTCTGATCAGCTTCAAAAGCAGCGGCAGCTAATTAGTTTAGATAAGATAACCTAGGTAGCCGCCTCATGAAAACTGGCCGCAACGAGGCGGCGACGTGTTTTGGTCAGCCAAAACCTGCGGAACTCGTCCAGATGCGTCCGATCGAAAACGGTCTTATTCGATTATGTGGCGTTTTTTGTTTACTTTTTTTGATTGATGCTCTACTTGTTATAACAATTCTGAGCCCTACAATCTGCCAAAGTCGATCGCGGGCGCTGTCCTTGAGGCCAAGTCCTTGATTGCTGATAGTTAGCGACTCTTCGTCTTGAAGAGCAGTGTGAACTGCAGCGAACAACTCTGTATAAGTTTTATGTTGGAAAATGGTATGGTAGTGGCGGTTAGGAGCAGGATCGCTCAAGTGAGTCCACCCAAGTTTACAGATGTCTTTTTTACGCTTTCCTTAGTTTGCGTGCTCTTTACGTTTTCTTCGTTCTCTCTCTCTCTCTCTCTCTCTCTCTCTCTCTCTTTATATCCACATTGACTGTTTATCTCTCGCGTTGCACGGGTGTAGCCTTATTTGGAGCCCTTTCGATGGTTTTCTTTTTTCTTCGTGGGCGAGTCAATTAGCACATTTGAATCTGTTTTTCGACAACGCCACCTTCGAACTTTTCTTTGGCTCATCGCGAAGTCTCCCTTTAAAGGGAAGTTTTTAGTTGGCGAATTCAAATTGTGGTGGAACAGCCTGCTCATGCCGCGAGCTACTCGGTCGCTTTCAACTGGACAAGAAGGCGTATAACAACAACAAGCTCCAGAATCAACACTTTGTTAGGATGTACAGAAAAATGCCACAAAAAAGTACCAATACAAACTGTCAGTTTGGTTTGACGGCTGCAACAGATAGAGGGAAGAGGAGCTTTTTGTGCAGCTCGTGGGATCATTAAAAATCTTTAACGAGCGAAAATTACAGCCTATGTTGTTGTGAGCTCAAAAATTAGAGTTGGGTGCAATCATCAGTTTCACAAATGAAATGCTCATTCAAAGCACAGTCCAGGTCGTTCCATGTATCCCACATGTGCCTGTATTGAGTGCTCCAGAGCTGTAAACACCAGTGTTTCACAGAGTAACGGTCCCAATGAAGCGCAAGTAACTCACATGAACGCATTGTTCGGGATTCCCAGTACCGTGCCAGTTGTCAGGAGTTACCTGGTTTTTCCCCCACCTCCTGAAAGGGCAAGTGGAACCACTCTCCCAAACCCAATCCCATGTCGATCTTCCTTTCCAGTGCAATCCAATCCAGGTTCTAAAGCCGCCTGTGCCAGGAGGATAAAACACGTATCCCATCACTGCAATAACCATGATACGGCGCTGTTAACATAATAACTTTAAACAGTTTTAGGCACAATTTGGCTTGTGTGTACATCGAATGGTAGTCAGCTGAGTTTGTGCAAGGAACCTAGTGAAGGCATGCTAAGTTGTGATTGTGATCCGCTCGCACTCTTTCACAGCTTCACAGAAGTTGCCACGTCTGAGTGGAGCGGAACTTATTAGATTACAAAAAAAATAGTGGGAATGCAAAACACCCGCTACACGCGGAACAACAACCCATGCCAGAGAAAGTTTTTCCCACTTTCTGAGGTATACTCGAAAAATTTCCGGACAACAATTGCTTTGCCAGCCTTTTTTCATATTTTGGTTGTTTTCTCTCTCTAACACTTCTATCAATACTAGTCGGATTGCCTAATTGTCGTCAGGGGCTCCTCCATCTAGTATGCGGGGCCGGCATAGTCGGCCCGATTAGCCAGGTGTTCATTACCTTGGGTGAGTTAGTATGTCAGAAATGGGCTACGTGACCGTATAAGCGATTCCAAAGGAAGTGCAGGCATAAGAATTGGAAACAGCTTCATATCACTGCTCAGCTACACAAATGAAACCTTCCTCTAATTCCTGTTCCTCAGCTGTGGTATTTCGAGGAGAGTGCACCATTCTTGTAATCGCTGTCATAACAAGAGAAGGGCTTAGAAGTAAAGTAGTCCTGACTTGCGTTTGCCTACAAATTCTTCTTATTCCGACAGTAGCAACTGCGGAATCCGGAGTTCAGCTGTGAAATCCGCAGTCAAAAAAAGGGAACCTAATTAAGCTTCGTTGCGCAGTAAAATTGGGCTCGACACAGGCAACCTGGGGCTCCGCTTCGACCGCGTAACTTACCACTAAGCCCTTTAGCCTAATTCACTTTTTACTTCTTCTAGATTGATTTCGCAATCTCTCCTAATGCATTGCTCTTGTTCGAAACAAGCTACTGCAAGCGCAGGGTTCTCAGAAATTTGTTGTTCCTCCCCTTCCCCCTCCATTCCGTGAGTGCCCGGTGAAACTTTAATCTGTCAAAAGCCCCCGAAGAAGGCGATGTTCGCCGAAACGTTAGCACAATAAACATCTGTACAAATCTCGGGAGGCTAAGGAGTCATACTGAATTATTACGTCTCTGATGCCGAGATTAATATAGGTTGGAAGGAAAGTCTTGTCACTGTTGTGCCTTTTTTAGTCAACAATATACTCATTATAGTTAGCTACTACAGTGTTCCACCTAATGGACAGGTAAGCATTCCCTCTCCTCCCAGAACTGAGAAGGCTGCGAGTAGAGTAAGTCAGCGCCCTCTCGACTGATGTCATCAAAGTTGCTGAAAGTTTTCTTGGCTGACAAAGCCTCGAGAAGGCGGAGCAAGTAGCAGTTCAGGGGACCACGTCAAGAGAATATGAAAGCGGGGTTGGTCTCCCAGCCTTGCTCCTCAATTATTTGGTAGGTCTCCATAGCTATGGGGTCTCGCATACTACGAAAGAGGTGCCCCGAAGCTAGTCTCGGTCATTTTTCTCCAACAATTTCCACCGGTTTCAGGAGCTGAGCGACATAAATGGTAGCGATGACAGTGTGTTCTCATATGGGCAGCTTGTTGTGCAGCACTCCTCTCGCGTCCCAGGAGCAGTACACGAGAACCTTTTCGGAATCATGTCCTGTTTGGACTGCTATGATGGGTCTCCTCCTTTAGAGATACACTCGGTACTGTGGGATGAAATCACAGAGGACCCATCTCCCATCTCCACTAAGCAATTTCCTTCCTTGACAGCTTCAAGACCTATGGAGCCTTTCACTTCGTGGAGGCGTCCCGACCGAGGTTTGCCTTCGAGGATCGTATCTCCTTTCGCGAAGTGAGCGAACCAAAAGTGAACGGTCCTGATGGTAGTGGTGTCCTCCGCCAATGCACTGTTGATGTTGCAGGACAGCCGCCGTGGCTCCAGTGCCGCGGGCCACCGGTAGAAGATGATGACCCGAAGATGCTCCTGTGAAACTAACATCGTAATTAGACCCAGGAAAGAGCAGGCGCCCTCACACACCTCTTGCACGAAAGCTCTCAGAATGTTCTACAAGCGTGTCATGTTACCTCATGTTCAAGCATCGAGAATCAAAAATTACCTCTTGTTTAAGCATTGAGAATCAAAAATTACCTCATGTTCAAGCATTGAGAATCAAAAAGTGTAAGCTTTAAAAGAAACACTGACAGAACTTTCCTTCTAACCTAATAGAAGCCGGTCCTGTGATACAGCAAATTATATATGGTAGGAATACTCTGGTCGTGTAGAATAGAAATTAACTTCTATTGGCTAATAGTAATGCAAGACGGAATGACTGCAGATATTTACTTTCCAGCATTTGATGGTCTTAATAAGAATGCTCTTGGCTTTAAAGTTCTCCTGCAACTTACTTGCAAGGAAGTTATTTTGTTGCTCATTGCATACAGTTGCTAGATGACCTCCGAGAGACTGACAGTGCTTCTCAGCATCCATTTGACTTCTTCCTTTGCAGAATTTCTGGAAGAGCAGCCACAACTTTCAGGATTACGATTGTATTTCATTAAAGAAGTGTGTGAATGAGAGATATGAAATCATGCAAACACTGAAAACACAACCACTCCTATTTGCGCAACAGAATCTCGCTTAATTGCACCAGTCTACGAAAATCAATTCAAATTTTGCTAATTCTGATAACGCCGTAGTTCCGGACAAAGAGGCAATCTACGAAATCAATTCGAAAAAAAAACCATTTCTTGGCTCACCTACCCTGTAACACTTTCCAGTTTCGAAGTTTCAACCCAAGGGCTGCAAATGTCTAGAGCTGCCGTCGGTATCTCGATCAAGGTACTGAGGATTATTATGGTAATCACCTGTATCACCTGTGCTCCCGTTGATCATCGAGTTCCTCGAGCGGGCGCCAGTAACGTCTCCATTCGTCCCTGCAACGTGCAAGAGTTGCCCAATGAACTCTCTCAGCTCGAGGGACACGATGAACTTCATACCGTTCGTTCAGAGCTTTCACGAAGAAGTCTGACCATCGCATAGGCGGTCGTCCAGGCGTTCGCTTGACATCCCGTGGAATCCAGTCGGTGACTGCTCTGGTCCAGCGGTCGTCCTCGAAACGCATGACGTGTCCGGCCCACCTGATCTTCGAAACCTTGGCAAATGCGGCGGCGTCTCTGATCTTCGATCGTTGGCGGAGTGCGGAGCTCCGGATTCCCTCTCTCACTTGCGTGTAGCGGGAAACTCCGAGCATCGCCCTTTCGATGGCGCGTTGAATAACGCCGACCGCATGCTCATCCTGCTTTCGTAGAGTCCAAGTCTCTGAGGCGTACGTCAAGGCAGGAAGGACCGCGGAATCGAAGAGGTGGGCACGGAGCTTGGTGTTCTTCGTCTTCTTCGCTACTCCCTCGATGTTCTTGAAGGCTCCCCAAGCCGCTCGCTTCCTCCTGCTCAGCTCTGGAGCTAGGTCATTCATCATATTGATTTCACGACCTAGGTACACATAGCTAGAGCATTCAGAGTTCCGTTGAGCGTGAATGGGGCATCAGATACCAATCCGTTTCTCATGAACATCGTCTTCGTTAGATTCAGCCGTAGACCGATTTTTCCACACGCGCAGTCGAATTCAGCCAGCATTCGTTCCGCTTGCTCGATGTTTGGTGTTATCAAAACGATGTCGTCAGCAAAGCGGAGATGGTGTAGTTGCCGACCGTCGATCTTCACTCCCATGTCTTCCCATTCCAGTTGACGCATGACGTTCTCGAGAGAGGCGCTGAAGAGCTTGGGCGAGATGGTGTCGCCCTGTCGGACCCCTCTCTTCACATCGATGATGATCTCCTTGTAGAATGGTGAGATCTTGGTCGTGAAGTTGCTGTAGAGCTCACGAAGAATCCTGATGTACTGAGTAGGAATACCCTGGTTGCCCAGGGCTTCGATAACCGCTTCTGTCTCAACGGAGTCGAAGGCTTTCTTCAAGTCGATGAACGTGAGACATAGCGGCATCTTGTACTCTCGCGATACTTCGATGAGCTTCGTTACCGTGTGGATGTGATCGATCGTGCTGAATCCTCTTCGAAACCCTGCTTGCTCGCATGGCTGTCCTTCGTCTAGTGTTCTGCCAATCCTGTTCAGGATGACTCGTGTGAAGAGTTTGTAGACTACAGACAGCAGGCAGATTGGGCGATAATTGCCAATGTCGTACAGGTCTCCCTTCTTGTACAGCAACACAGTCTTGCTGGTTTTCCACGAGGTGGGTACCTTGCATTCCGACAGGTAGCGCGTGAAGAGTCGAGCCAGAGTTTTGACGAGAACTGGCGGAAGATTCTTCAGATGTTCGGGTCTGATCCTGTCGGGACCGGCCGTACGATTCTTCACCGACGAGATGGCGTGTCGGACTTCGGAAGGGAGAACTGCAGGAACGACATATCCATCCTGCTCCAAGCGGTATGGTTGCAGGTGGACGTGGCTGTCAAAGAGATCCGAGTAGAAGTCGTGGATGACCTTCTCCATTGCCCTTCTGGATGCGGTGATTGTTCCATCCGGACGTCGGAGGGCGGTCATCTTGGTCTTACAGTTGGCGAAGTCGCGGCGGGCGTTGCGTATGCTCTTCCCAGCCTCTGCGGCTTCCACCAGTACTGCTGCTCTTCTCTCCTTGAGGTCTTCCTTTATCGCTTCTCTGCATAGCTTCGCAAGCTCAGACGTCAGCTGGTAATTGCCTGCGGCTCGTGCGGCTCCACGTTGGCGAATCAGCTCGAGAGTTTCCAGAGATAGACGCTTCTTGGTAATCTTGGAACTCTCTGACTTCTTGGCGCAGTCGTGAAGATGTGCAACAAGCCGTTCGTATTCCTCGTCGATGTTGTCGATGACAGAATCCTCCCAGAGCCCAGCGAGAGAAGTGAAGTGATCCCAGTTGATGAAGGTCTTGGGGCTTCGCTTCTTGAACTTTGCGGCTCTCTCTCCTCGCATCGAAAAGCGGAATCTTGCGCGAAGGAGGCGATGGTCGGATCCCG